CCCCAAAACCCCAAAACCCCAAAACCCCAGAAGGGACCCATAGAGCTGAAAATGACTAAATAGAACCTTGTCAGGACTAAAATTTAGATAATTAATTTGGAACTAGCTATTGGAATCTATTTTTTTGGAATTACTTCGGCAACTAAGTTATTCTTACATAGGTCTATTATCTTCCTCTACTACCTTGATGTGAGAGAGGCCATGGGTCTCCAGTTGTTCCTCCATCTTGGGTAGGGAAATCTTGCAGTTGTGGATGTTAAGGACCTTGAGGGAGTCTTTGAGAGAGGAATTCTTGATCGCGATCACAATCTTTTCAAACCTGTCTGGGTACTTGTCCCACTCCATGTCACACCAATCATGATAAGCACAACTATTGAAGCTTAAGTATTTAAGCTTGGATTGAGTAGCAGATGTAAAGTCAAGAGAGTCTGAGGTTAAAATTTTGCTACAACTCACAGTAAGCCTCTGCGCATTTCATGAACCCTTGACTATCTGGCTCAGATCATCCTCCCTTATTACCAGATAGCGCAAATAAACTTCCTTTGTGACCTTAGGTAGAAGGTTCTTCAGTCCCTTCATCACCGTACTCGCTTGGATCGTGTTACTTCCAGCACCTCCGACCTTGTTCAGATTCAGTGCGAACAGCCTAACAGAAGAGACAACAGAGTTTTCCATGAAGGAGTCTACTATACCTTCCTGGCCGTATATCGAATTAATCCTGAGCTTATTCATCTTTTTAAGAACATACTTGCTGTCTCCCATTGCCTTGACCAGTTTCTGTGCGTCCTCTTGCCTCATTTTCAGAATGAGATCTTTAAAGTTAGGATTGAAGTTTTTGAAAATATAAGTAAGCTGATTCTGGTGAGTTTCTTTTGTTGCTTCAAGTAGGCTTTGGCCTTCTTTTATCTCTACAAGTCATATCTTATAATTTTTACCTTCACACAACTTGGATATCTCTTCCTGGTCTTTGTTATTCTGCAGCTTGGATTCCTCAATCTTCTCCAGTTTAGCCTTCAAATCCTCTTCTAGCTGCGCTTTGAAATCTTTTAGGTCTTTGTTCTCATCTTTCAATGAGGCATTTTCAGCAAGAGCGTCGTCTTTTTCTTTCTTGGTATCTTCGATATCATGAAGTGCTTGCTCTGTGGCTTCTTTTTGTTCCTCAAGCTCTGTATCCTTGGCATCATTCAGATCTTTCAGGTTCTGGATCTCGTCTTTGAATTCTTCGTTGAGCCTGGCTTTGCACTGTTGCTCAAATTGTCTTGATTTGGAGCTGAACTTCTTCTCCATCAGCTCCACATTTTCTTTGACCACAGCATCGATCTTTTCTTTGACCTTTGTTGCAGATGATAAGTCTAAGCTTTATAAAGAAGAACTTACCACCACCGATCTTGGGTAGGCTGTACATGCTGACATCTCTGAATGTTGACAAGTACAAAATATCTTTGACGACTTTGCTATCGTCCATCTGGGTTTGGACCCTAAAGAGATCAGCAAGTTTAAGTGAAAGCACCCAAAGATATGAGGGCGCCATTTTAACAAGTGAAGGAAGAACTTACTGCTTGATCTCGGACTGAAGAGTGTCAAATTGTTCGAAGTGGTCGTGAGTAATTGCATCTTTTATTTTGTTCTCGATCTCGACGAGGCTATCCCTAAAATCTTTGAGTTCACTGTCAATGTGAGGACTGTATCTTCTCAAACCATTCTCAGCGATGAGCTCGAATAGTCTCTTCACAAATCTCTTGACCTCGATCACATCGATCTTGAGATCAGTCAGATCTTGGATGATATCCAGCTGGCATTTGAAGTGCATCTTGTTTGCACAGCTCTTACATGTTTGCATCTGGTGGGATCTGCATAAGTACATTCTGTGTTTCTTGCATGCAGGGTCACTGCATTGTAACCTATTACAAGTTAAGATAATTTTAATCGAAAGAATTAACATCTCGATCACTCAGGCTTACTTTTGGGGAATAACATTAAAAGGATCCATGTTTGGAAATAAAATCTAATAATTAAGAAAGGTAAGTTCAACCATGATTTAAACCTGCGGGGTTTTGGGGTTTTGGGGTTTTGGGGTTTTGGGG